CGGGTGTTTCATTGCGTATCGTTCGACAACAAAGTCCTTTTACGTTACCATTAAAAAAGTTAGAAGGGTTTACGTAAATTAAGCTTGTTTCTAAGAAAGCTGTTTCCTAAGACTTTGTCTGGTAATGCACTGAAAATTAATGAGAAAACAGAAACTGTACTTACCTAGTATCTTGTTACTTCGTTGACTGGTAATAAATTTCTTCTTTTATTATATAAAGTCCTCTTCCTACTTTCCTAATTACAATTTACAAGTTGTTTAAGTTAATATACCGAGTTAAACATACAAACACATACTTAAAATAATCATGAAAGGAATGAGAAATATGGCAAGGCGAATGAAAAGTGGAGACTAGTTTTAGAAAAACATTTACATATTTATATATATAAAATATAATACAATTTGTTACAGTGTAGATGATAGTGTAGCGTTTAGACGTTAATATCCAGTGTAAATTAGGTATAAATCTAAGAGCGGTCTGGAAGGATAGGGACGCCCGGTAACGCGTACGATCCGTGCGTGAGCGCGCGTGTCATTAGGCGCGGACACACGCGCGCACACACTGCGGGGGAGTACAAGTTCAACATGTTACATGTAAATTATAAAGATACAAGATACTATTTAGCCAGCTATCTGAATTCGAATGTGTAGGTGCTTATGAAGAGTCCGGGACGTAATTTAAATCTAAAAACTATATATACAGGGTACCTCTATGTACACGCACACGCTATTCGCTCGATTCCTTTTTTCCCGTCCACTCGTTTGCTTTTTCTCGCACGATCACCGTGCCCCAATATCTAGCTAATGGGTCACAGGCATTGGTTGACGATGGTCGCTAATCTTTTCTACATACAGTACATACATTTCCCGATTTCCTGGCTCCGCCGAGTTTTCGTTCAATGTCTAATCTCCTCGCACTCCGAAAAGCCACTTTTCATACGTCTCTGCTATCTCCATTCTCCATTCTCTTGTCAATTTTATCGACTTGGCTCAAATTTGTTTATGTCTCAAGTTTGAATCGGCGAGTAATCGGTGAATGCTTCACCAATCGTACCGATTCTCCATTCAGGTACTGCACGTTACTTCCTCGTTGTTCCATTATATAATCGTTCGCTAGTATATACGTCGTACACGTTTGTAATTTACTGTTAGGAAAAAATTACAATGGAACGGTAACCTTTATAGTAGTTTTTCTTATCGGAATCTCGATGGAAGCCAGGGATCTCGGCGTGATAACGAACCAGCTAACGTACATACGATGCAAGATCATTGAATATAAATGCGTAATATCGTTCCCTATTTATCTAACATAATTATCCCAGCATAAATGACATTTACTTGTGACACTTTGCTTGATTGTTCTGGTCATATCACCGGCAGTTCCTATCAGCCCCTCCCAACACGCAACATCCCCTAAAACATCCTGACGACGGCGACGCCTGCGATAACAGCGTCAGCGAACGGCCACTGAGACTGAAGCCAGCGCGTCGACATCGTAGCACGGAAGAAGTCTCGAAACGACTTCCTCTCCTCGCCTCTCGCGCGGTGCGATTATAACAAGTTCTTTCGGCGGTGATAAATCATCGCTTATCCCGTAACGGATCGTACATTTCGTACACGCAGCGAAGAAATTCGAGGGAGGGAAAGTAGCGATCGAATGTTTCTCAAATTATTCCATCTCTCAATACGTGTTTACTATCTTGCTTCTATCCTTCAATCGTCGATCAATTGCATCACCGTCGTACTGTTTCGTCGATGTTTTAACATCATCGACAAGTCTCGAACGACTTGTTCTGTTTTCATTTCTGTGTACGTAGGTCTGCGTGTCGTATGGATATTTTTAAATGTGTAAATATTGTACGTGCTGACTCGATGGTTCCATGTTATAAGCGTTTACAAACAGAAAAAGAGGGACAATAATAACAGAAAGACGGAGTATAACTTCGAATTGGAACGCTGACATTAGCGAAGCGACGATTGGCAGTATCACGGCAGTATACTCGTCGGCAGTATACAGCAGTATGATCGGAAAGGAATGGACCTTCAGCGCTTAAAAGTAACGTTTTTTTTTCCTCGAGGATGAAGGTAATAATCGCTCGACTTCCCTACGATCTCTACACACACAGATCTCCTATGACATTTACGAATTATCGTAGTATTAAATTGTAAAACGTGACTACGCGCTTATTATTTTTACCGATTAGTCCGACTACGTAGTGAGGTTTTTTTTTTAATATTTCTACACTAGGGAAAGAAAGAGAGAGAGAGAGAGATTTATCATCGACAATCGGTCGTCGTAAGTCGTGGGAGATCGGTTCTAAAAGACATCGACAGAACAAACGAGAGATTTTAATAGACGACCGAGAGACAGATGTGAGAATGAAAAACAACAGACACACACGGAAAACGAAACCGCGACATTTCGCTCGTGTGATTTTCTGGAAAAACAGGAACGCGCCTACGAAGCTTTTCGCTTCTCGTGTCTCCGACTGTGAAACTTGCGTTCTCCCCCGATGCAAATAGAATTGAGGAAAAGCGCGCGCATTAAGGGACTCTTGACTACAAAGATATCGATCGCGGTGCTCCGGCGTAAGTCCTCTACTTGCACGCCATCATACATGTTATTCCTTCCTTCCCTCCTTCTCTCTTTCTCCTTTCCCAATAATTAAAGTGGTGCTTCGAAGACTTAATCGACTGAACGAGTGTCAAATGAGGGTACATTGTAACAGGTCAAAAATTGGATCAATTTAAAGTAACTACGCGAAGTAGATTGGATTTAATTCTGTATCGAAAAAAAGAAACAATTCTATTGTCTAACTCTTGTTGGTGATTTCAAAATGTTAATAACAATTGATAATTCCCGACCGATATTCGTACATCTGTATCGATATTTGTAAATTTTTCTCTTGTATGTTCTCTCATTTAAACATGATCATGATAAATTGTTCTTTAAAACAATTCTTTTATTGTCTCAAATGTTACATTGTTCGATAAGTCGAATAAAACATGACATTCCAGTAATAGTTTCGATAATAGATCGTTATTTGAATCATCAATTCGTAAGTCTGAATCAGCTATGAAAGCTGTTAATTAATCACAAACGCTCGACGAGACAATCATTATCGATTGCCTACCAAGGAGTCAAAGCACCGCTTTAAAGCGTGGCGTCGCAAAGAAACGGAAGCACATGTCTTCCGTTGGTGGAATCGATCACGTAGAGATCGATGCAACACCGCGTGTGCCATTCGTAGTGACAAGTGTCCCCCAGCGAGCGGTGGAGAACGCATTAAGAAACTCAACGTACGCTTCCCGACCGTCGCGCTTCGCGAACATGTTGCGCGCGGAATATATAAAAACGCATATATATCTAACGCGTGGAAACGCGGGCGAAACAGAGTATCAACGCGACAAGTAAACTTCTTCTCTATACAATTAAATAAAAAATAAATAATCTCCGGCATGAACAGCCAGCTGAACAACGAGAGCTACACTTAAGGAACTGTACAGAATATTACAAAGGAAATGGTACAAACGTTGGTCAAGTGACACGTAACGAGGCTACAATAATTCCACGGTACAGTGAAAAACGTTGCAAACTTGGTTTGTTAGTCCCGAGTGCGAATCGACCAACGTTTATATGGTCTCCGCTAAAAAACGTATCTATTCGTATAAATCTAATAGTAACAGAATATACAGACTCCGGCGGGAACCAAGCGATTCTCCATGAGATTACTCTTTGAAAAATCTAGAAAGCTGCACCTGAAAGCTACTTCTTTAGAAATGTTCTCTTCGTCAAGACTACCCGAATGCGTTCAATTCGCTTGGTTCTCAGCCTGCTAAATAAACAGCCAACAATATAAATTCTTTCGAGTCTAGAAGCTTCAAAATAATTCCGCACAATAGACAGGATTTCAATTTCCTCGTGGATATCTTTCGTTCGAGAACTGCTGAAGGAGAGAATCGGCTAGTACATATTCGCGACTTACGCTATGTTGCTTTTTTCTTGAGATGACAAGTCGAGTTTGGAAACGCAGCCCGTTGTTTGTAAAAATGGACTAGAAAACTTGTATCATATTTTTACTCTTTCTCGTTCAATTCTCGTTCTCGTCCTTTCTCGTTCTCGTGCGCTGTCACGTATTTATTATTATCAACCAAACAAACGTAGGCTAAGATCGATTAAGGTTATACACGTATATAAGTTCATATTCACGTACGACCGATCCTAAAATTATTGTATTATATTTCACGCAATATAATATACGTCGAATCGCGTATAACAGACAGTGCTATAGTGGAAAGTAACGAAACAGAAGAGCAACGAGTAACTTTGTCGCTCACGATTTCGATTCACGATTCATCCGTATTCACGTTGTTCCTTTTATCTGATCGTGTCAAAGGGCGAGAGATCCATCCGTTTTGACGCAAGCGCCGACTGTGTTAACGTTACGACGGAAACGCAATTCTTTGCAGGATTTCAAGGGACTTCCTTTGATCGTATCAGCCTTTGCCCGTGCCATGTTCAAGCGAAATACTTCGCGACTAACCGAATGAAATCGAATTAAATTCTGAATCGATTACTTGCGAATGAACCTAAAAGCTTGCTTTTATGCCGGCGTCGATACGGATCGATAAATAGTACCTCGTAGATACAGAGGTATTTATACGTTTAGCTTTTTACACACAGTATCATTTGTGCAATATTTTGAAAAAAAATTAGATGGTGGAAACTGAGAAACGACGAGTGATCGAAGTCGAAAGATATCCAACGATGGTCCTGCGCGAGTACGCGATTCGTTATAACAATATAGTTACACGAGCAGAGATCGCGAAAAGGGAGGTTGATCCTTGAATGAGGACACCGTAGATCCTACTCTTCGATGGACGTTCATTAGGGGAAAATATATTTGGCAATCTTCAATAGATCGTCTCGTGTCGACAACATCCATTATTCGTTCCGTGCGCGATCACGACTCAAAACCATCAAAAATATTTCTCTTTCCCACGTCGATCGAGGTAATCCATCCAGCTGATCCATCGATCAACTCTTCCTCGATGTGTTTCGTAAAACGAATCGTCTCCGTAAGAAAAATTGCGATCGTTCGGTAGTAGGACAAACCGGATAGACGTGGAAACGAACGCGAAAGGGAACCCCGGTATCTACCGCCGTCCTCATTCAACGACCAATCAACGATGAATATAGTTGTTTAGTTTAAGTGACGCGTCAGAGGATACACACCGGTACGTACTTACATATGCATCTCCTCCCCGATCCAGCGCGATCAACAAGAAGATAAAACGGCCGTCCTAGATAAACGAAATCGATCGATCGGTCGATCAGCGTGCAGACGACCAACCAGTGTTCACCTGAACGTACCGCCAATTACAGCCACCAAAATGGTCAATATTAAGACCATCGGTGGTACCGATCTAGTCGAGGAACTTCCGCCAGTTGGTCCGTCACTGCTGCGGGACACTTTGCTGCGCACCAATTGTCCACGTTCGACGGCGTTTGTCTCGTCACTGTCAGGATCCACGGGAGCACCGATATCTTCGTCTTCGCTGAGCAACATCGACAACTTGTTTCTTAGAGGTTTCTTCGAGCAAGGCAAGTTAACCTCCTCGTACGGCCTCAAAATCCTAGGATAGTGGACTTCCAAGTTCTCCGTGCCCGGCAGCACACCCTTGTTCGTCCAGCAGAGGGGTTTGAAGGTGCCTCCTCGAGTAGCTTCTCGGAAACTTTGAAAACTGGTCTCCCAGTCGTAGCTAAGCAAACGTTCCTCCAATGTCATGCCGGACAACTTTTGCGGTTCTTGAATCTTTACCGGGCTAGAACCCCTGTAACGAGAAAGAATGATACGTGAAGGTTTGTCACGGCTTGGCTCGATTCCACGTCCTACAGAGACGAAGTTTCAGGAGTCCCGAAGACGACTTTGCTCCCGTGACCCGCATCGTGAAAGCGCGCTCGTTTGCCGAAACAAAGCTTGTTGCAAGTCTTTGTGTATGGCTTGAAGAAAACAGGAACACGTTTACGTGTACCTCTCTCTTTTTTGATCAGGAAATTTTAGTCAACGTCCTGAGATTGAACTAGATTTCGAACGGATAAGACAGAAAATAGGAGTTCAGATCTTTGGTTATGGTACATGGATGATAATAAGCTGATCGTTTAGGTATTTAGGCTAATTAGTTTGATGGCCCGGTAATGATTGCATTATTGGTAACAGGTGTATGGTTTTGAAGTAGGAGCGTTGTTTGCCTGCCTCTGGTCGATACAGCAATTTGGTCGCGATGTCACGCAAAGATGACAATGATCTCTGTCGGAGTTAACGATCCAACTAGCGACGACCTGCCGATATTAGTGGTAGTAATAACAGTAATTTAACTACGGTATTCAATGTAGCCGGAGTGTGTTTAGTGAAACAGGACGCTTGTTACATTAAGGTTCGTGACACGTCGCAGGAAGCGTCTTCGTGACACACGTAACATTACGTAATGCAATAAACGATGCGTCTGGCGCAATATAACCGACGCTCGTTGAACTAACGACAGGTCGTGCGGTCGTGACGCACGGGCCATCGCCGTCCCTAATTGCCAATTTAAAGTAATCAGAGTAAAAGGAGCGAACGTCTGGTCATTGCTTTGTGTGTAGAGGCATACGTCGTGATCATTAACGTGGTATCAAACCTGCCGCGTAAATTAATCTCAAACGGTCTTTGAACTTTCGATATATAAAAAAAAAAAAGAAAAATGAAACAACTGACGAACCGACAGGCGTGATTATTTCGCGAAATTCAAGTCAACCTAACTGTTTCGTTTGTTTCATAGCGGACAGTTTGGCAAAATGAACGAACAAGAGAGGTCTCATCGAAATTATTGTCGATATTCAAACACGAACAGAAAACGTTACGATAAATACTCACTGCATCAGCTTTTGGATTCCCAAACTCTGCAGAACCGTCGGCAATGAAGGCAGAGAGTAGCAAAGCGACAGCTCGATGCGAGGATAATAAAGCGTGGATACCAAACAAGTTTCTTCCCTCGTCGACAATCCACCTAGCGTGATTGCTTGTCTGGATTTAGATGAATATGTACATTCGGCTATTAAATGATCACCCTGTAAGAAAAACACATACACCCACCTATGATTACCCCATATGCTTCGCTAATACCGAATAAATAAGTACACAACTTTTCCATCACTATACGCTTCATTTTCCTATCACCTCTAGAAGAATTTTATCATATCGATTCCTTGGATCGCCATTTAAATCGCTGCGAAAGAAACCGTGCAGAAACACGACCATCGACTTGGTCGATGATCACGAGAGAGAAACAAACGCTCACCGGATAGACCCTGACGGGCTTCTGCAGCTTCCGATACTCCTGATAGCTAGGATCGTAATTGGTGTCAGACGCAATGGGTGGCAGCTCCTCGCCAGACCTTATCTGACGCAATCGGACCTTCCTGCCCAGCTGATGAGTATGCATAATGACAGCGAATATGTTGATGCCGCTGTTGGGTATGGTGTGTCCGGTACAATCCGAGATGCAATGACCTTCGGAGATAACGTCTGGCTGGCCGGGTGGTATGATATGCCTCCAGTTCGGGTCGATGCCGACGCTTAGAATGCCGGCATCGTGAGTGCGCAGCTTGTCCGTGTAATGCAAACGCAGGCCAGAGCTGTCGCTGATGAATGCATCCATCTGTGGGTTCGTATAGTGTGTTTCTAGCATGTAGTAGCGCGGCCCTATGTGCGGATCGAGCGCATAACCGGCCTCCGGTGGATAATTGAAGCCCTGCGAGAAAAACCGTGACGAACGTTCGATTATACGCTGGCTAGGTACATGTCTGACAATTCGAGAATCGGGAGCGTCAGATTTATGGACGATGGTCGAAGGTTCATGGGGTGACTCGTGTTAGGGATAAATGGTTTTTTTCAGTTTTTACTACTGTGATTTACGATAAATATTTGCGTGAAGAATTTTTAAATGCAACGCGAAAGTACCTATGTACGTGCGTTGTCGAGGGAATTTTCATTATCGATTGTGTTATTTATTATGGATTAAGTTTCATGTGTAACATGTTTAGTGTGTGGTGTAGTTTAAAGTAAAGCAAGCACAGGTGCTTAATTATATGTATAAATCATATTTGAAATATAATCGAGATTTGAATCAGTGAGGCGGGTAATTGCACCGAGGTAAATCATTGTCCACAAATGTTAATCTGGCGTCATCCTGGGACAAGCGTAAGAGACATACTGGTACAACGCAGAGAGTATCGCGGTAATTCTGGGTTTTGTGTAATGCATACCAATGCGGAGAGCGAGAGAGCGTCGCGAACTCGTTTCTTCGTGGTCGCGCTGGTAACACGAATACCCTGAGAAGATGCGACTGATCGCGAGACAGCCGGTAATCTCACACGCGACATCGTGTCATGATTTAATTGTTCGTACATGCGAAAGCATTGTCATCCATATGAAATAATTTAAAAGGAAAGAAGACTCCTCTCTCTCTCTCTCTCTCTCTCTCTGACTCTTGGACGAATACAATTAAACTTGCCAAGTGTGTTTTTAAACAATATTTCAACGTCAGAGTTACATTGTTTGATATCATGGCTCGAATCGATTTAGCAATTTGCATTTAATTTCTCTTTTAAGAATCGCTTGAACCGAAACGAATCCAATTGTTCACTTTCTAATTCGAGTGAAATTATATCTCGAACCGATATCCACGTCGGATGGGAAATTTATTTAATTCTTCATTTACATTTAAATGTATCACGTAGCATACCTCAGAACCAAGGCTCCAGATAGCCGCGATTGTGTTACACTCAAGAGACGGCTGATTGGGCTCGTAGCAAACACTGCCGGACGTCTTCGCGGCGGACTCCAATAGCGCCTGATCTCTACGACACTCGTACAAAGTCATGTGATGCAGGTAATCGTGACTTCCGGGTTGTATCACCGGCTCGTACTGAAAAAGGAAGAGTCCATGCACGCTCAGTTCAACACCTGTCAGATAAGAAGAAGGAAGAAAGCGGGAGAGAGGAAAAAAAAGAATGGCTCGCGCCGCTGACTTGGAAGAACTTAATTCATCGCGTACGTACCAGCGTTTTCGAATGGATGAAAAGTTATCTTCGATAAATCAAGGATCTTTTCAACGAATCGACGTGTGCCTTTGAATCAGTATGAATCGCACGTCAGAAATTTTAAGCATGTGTTGCCTATTGACGAACATACGCTATACCTCGATAAAGGCTAACTTTCACATAGAACGGTCATTCTCACGACTTCGTTAGACGAGAATCGCAACGTAATAGCATTACGTGACGTAGTCGCCAACGATTCATGAGAAATATTATTCTAATGTTACGTATCACAACTACTAGGAAATATCGTGTTACCCGTCCATTTATGTTTTATTCTGTTTTCCCAATCAATAATCGAGTTAGATCCGAGCACCTCATGTCATTCCGCTGCTTCATGCGCAAGATTAACATTAGCGCGGTGATGAAATATATCATAACGATAAATATACATATAGATATGATATCCGAGCAAATTCGAATAAGACTAGAAAATACTTTTCGCTGGTGCGTTTTACTGATGGAAAACAAGTCGCGGTTACTCGATTTTACAGGTCGACTGTCACACGTCCTCGTCGATCGGTCGTTTAGAAATAGATACATCAAAACCACGAAGCGTTATCGGAATTTTCGAACATCACGATTGGAAATAGAGATCAAACTCGACGAATGATTTCGCGCGAATGACAGACCTCTCGAACCGTGTAAAGATATTTTGCCATATACGCGTGAAAGCAACGCGATGATGTGTTCGTAAAAGAAAAGGATTCGCGTTGTATCTGCCGGAAGCGCGATTTATACGGTTTCATCAGTCGTTCGTTCTAATGGAGGGGCTCTTGACTCTCGGCATTAACCGTACATCAGCCGACGAAACGATCGTTCCCGGACCTTGGAAGATACTTGCAAGGATTTCCAGTCGACAAACTGACTGAGATCTCTGGTGCTCGACGGCTTCCACGTCGACGAGAATCTGTTCATACGCTCACGGTTTAATCAAGTTTAGATGGGTTAGATGCGTAAGACGCGGCACGAGCATGGTTAAGAGTAAGTAGGTTACAGTTACGAGGAGAACTTACTTTCACGACGTGGTGTTTGTGATCAATGTTTGGCATCCTTAGAACGCGACACCAAAGCAGCGTGTCTTGTCCCTTGGGTAAACGAACCTGCAAAGTAATTTAAAGATGCTTGGTTAAACGGGCGTAATTCTTTGCGTTAGCTGTTCAGGTGCATCGAAACGAGGAAACTTTTCCACCCTATAAAAATAAATCGACTTCGCGTTTATTCCAGAGTTCGAAGGATTTCCAGGTTATATAATACAGTCACTTTGAAATTTTAATCAACTTTATTACAGCAGTTTGCGGCTATATATAGGAGAAACGGTTGCAAACATACAACGATCCATACATGGTATGGGTACGAAGAGGGTAGAAACGAATCGAGATTGAATAAGGGTATAGCGGTGGATGCTGTTAGCCGTACACGCACGAGTTAATGTTTCCTCAAAACTTTTCAAATGTTAACGCTCTGTACAGGTTGGCCGCCACATAATAGGACTGGGAATTCATCCGACGCTGCACGAAACTGGATGGAACTGTATAGATCTGTCTATACCCGTTAATGGAGGAACGTGGTATTTAGCGCGGTACACGCTTGCTATCGCTGGACTGTCAGCCTCCAAATTGTTTTTCTAATTGCAACTGTCTTCGACCGAGTTTCCTCCAACAATTCGCGTGACAAAGATAATCCAGGGAAACGAGTTTCGCTCATTTCGCCGTGTT